TTTTTTTTTCCATTTTGGAAGTGTATCTATTATAATATGCATATGATTAGATATTCATTATTCAGTTTATTAGTTTTTATTATAAGCTAGCTACTTTATTCCATCCTCTGTTATTGTAATTATAAACATTTGATTTTATTCTATATTTTTTTGCTTTGGTATTTAATTAATTTTTGTTGGAGTATAGTTGATTTACAATGTTGTGTTAGTTTCTGCCATACAGCACCATAAATCAGTTATATATATATATGTGTGTGTGTATATATATATATCTCCACTTGTTTTTAATTTCTATTTCCATATAGGTCATTATAGAGTATCAAGCAAACTTCTCTGTGCTTACCAGAGAAGTTCTTGTTAATACCAGAGAAGTTCTTGTTAATACCAGGTTCTTGTTAATTATCTATTTTATATACAGTAATTTCTATATGTCTTTTGTTTTATTTTTTGGAATTGTGCCCCCCCTTTTGTTTCTATAATTTTGTTTAAAATGTTGTCTTAATTTTTCAGTTTTATATTTTCTCTTCCTTATTTCTTCTTTTCTTATTGTATTTATGAATAGGTTGTGCCTTTATTTTAATTTTTCCATAGACATATAATATTTAAGATATACTTTCTTGAAATATTAAAAATATATTTAACATATGCATAATAATCAGTAATTATTTCCAGTCTTATATAATACAAGAAATCTTAATATAAATAATATCAACCCTTCCCCAACTTCCATGTTATTGTGCACTATTTAAACCTTCTTTTTTTTTTTTTTTGCTATTTTAGTCCTGTGTTTTCACTCTTAAAAATGTTGACCTTAAATTCAGTGAATACAATTATTACTGACAGTTAGTTAATACTGTAATAGATCCTATGTTTACAATTTACTTGCTCACTATATATCATATTTAATAGCTTGGTTTATTTTCCTTATTCCTACAGTGAATAGTTTCAACTTTATATAATTTTTTTTGTTGACAAAATTTTTCTACTGACCATATAATATCAGTGTATATTCTATTTTCACTTAATCCTTTAATAATATTTTTTACTTTCTATCAGTGTTCATTATAGCTATTGAGAAAACTACTACTATTCTCATAGTAATTCATCTATCATGTTTAGAGCTTTCTTTGATTTTATGTTTAATTGTATCATGGCTTCCCTGGTGGCTCAGATGGTAAGGCGTCTGCCTGCAATGCGGGAGACTTGGGTTCAATCCCTAGGTCGGGAATATACACTGGAGAAGGAAATGGAAACCCACTCCAGTACTCTTGCCTGGAAAATTTCATGGACAGAGGATCCTGGTACGCTATAGTCCATGGGGATGCGAACAGTCGGACACAGCTAAGCTACTTCACTTTTTCTTCCTTTCTTTAATTTTATGTTTAATTGTATCATGTCAATATATTTAGGTATTGATTTTTCTCTATTTAAGTTTCATTGCCCTTTCTAAATCTGAGAGTTTAGAGTATTTTTAAATAAATTGTACAATAAAGAATAATACAAGGTATATGTATATTATGATATATGGTAATATAATAATATATGGTATATTATCAACTTTATCCTCTTCTTTCTATTTGGTATATTATCAGATTTTCCACTTTCTTTTTGTTATCTCCTTGTAGAATTTATCCTTTCTACTTTTAGTGTATAAATAAAATCTGATATATATATATATATATAATCAGATTTTCCACTTTCTTTTTGTTATCTCCTTGTAGAATTTATCCTTTCTACTTTTAGTGTATAAATAAAATCTGATATATATATATATAATTCTTATTATATATATATAATTTTTATTATATATATAGCTGCTTTGCTTTTCCCCTGGAGAAGGAAACACTCCAGTGCTCTTGCCTGGAAAATCCCATGGACAGAACCTGGGAGGCTACAATCCATGGGGTTGCAAGAATAGGACACGACTAGGGACTAAACGACCACATAGCTGCTTTACAATGTCGAGCTAGTTTCTACTGTATAACAAAGTGTATCAACTATAAAATATATATATCCCCTCTTTTCCTCTATTCCCCTCCAATTATGTCACCACAGAGCCCTGAGTAGAGTCACCTGCACTATACGTAGGTTCTCATTCGTTACCTATTTTATACATAGTATCAACTGTGTCTATATATCAATCCCAATTTCCCAATTCATCTCACCCCTCTCTTCCCCCTTGGTGTCCATATGTTTTTTTCTTTATGTCTGTGCCTTTATTTCTGATTTGCAAATAAAATCATCTATATGACTTTTCTACTTCCCACACATACGTATTAATATATGACTTTTTTTCCTCTTTCTGACTGACTTCACTCTGTATGGCAGTCTCTAAGTCCATTTATGTCTGCACAAATGACCTAATGTTTTACGTTTTTATGGCTGGGAAATATTCCATTATATATATGTACCAAGTGTCTCCTTGTCCAACCGGAGCTGGAAACATGTATGTCCATCTGGTCACACATTTCTCACCACTTGGTGCAAGTCCCTGAATGAGTCAAAATAGCATAAGTACTGGTTTTGTGGTTCTAAATAAATTCAAGAGCGCAGGTGAGTTTTAAATACAGAATCGGCAAACAATGAGAATCAACTGTAACTGATTTCTCTGCAGCAAAATGAAAGAATAACACTTGCTCAAGGTAAATGAAATGACCTCACAATTATCTTGTGCAGCCAATGTATCCAGACACAAATATTGTATATATTTCCATCTCTGTAATAATAAAAATCAGGCAATACTGATTTCTGGTAACAGAAATCTGCATAATGATTACCTTTAGATAGGTAATGACTAGAAAGAGTAATAAAGCATAATTATTATTGTTTTAATAGCAAGATCACAGGAGAATCCATTTAGACTGAGTCTGAATTTTCTAACTTATAAAAGTGTAAGTTTTAGATTCTTGTCTGAAAAATACCCACAATCATAATTATATTATATTTTAATATTTTATCCTCATATGTCTTTTTCATTCTCCTGGTATTTTATAGTCATTATAGTCACTTTGAAAATGATATCATTTATGTGATTTTTTTTACCATTGCCTGAATTTTCATTATTGATATTTTCTATTAATTTTAAAATTTACATCATTGTCTGAAGATAGAAGTTATATGAATAATAAATGATGCTAACTTTTCTCATTTTCAAATATCTAGTAGGTAATACATATTCAGTTGCTGTAGATTTTTGGTTTGAACACTGAATTTAAAGACCAGCCTGATTATTCCTGAAAGAACATCTAATTTTAACCTGCCAGCTAAAGACTCTTGATAATCCTTGACTACTGGCTGTAATTCGCTAGCCTATGTTGCCACTGAAATCAAAGTAAAATAAACCTGGTAAAAAATCAAGCAGTCTCAAAGACAGACACATAGGATGTGAAATATACAGAAAAATATGTTCTCCCAGTAGACAGTGGACCATTAAATAGACACCCATTAGATAGGGTGTACACAAGTATGTAACCCTGGGGGCACTAGGATTTTCGAGCAGTTATTTATCCTTTCATGACCCTACTGTTCATTGTCATATTTGAAACTGAACCACAAATTTATAACTCTGTAGACACCAGAGCTTTCAAACAGAGACACTTTTTATTTGTTTATCTGTGATACCAAGCACATCTTACAAAAGACAATTAACAAATGCATACAAAAATGGATAGATGATTGGATGAATTCATATGAAGCTGTTAAAAGCTATTACAGTGAGAAGCTGTGATTTTGAACTTCTTAGAATATCTTTTGTTCTACTCAGGAATCAATATTAGAGGTACTAACATCTATTTCAAACCAATATTGATGCAAGCAAAAAAAATATAAAAGTAAGAAATGGTTAGATTTCAGTGTCTGTCAGAATTTTGATAGTAAATCAGTATATCGTGCATACACCAGGCCCTGTTATAAATGCTTAAATGCTTTTATGCATTAATTGATATAATCCTTAATATAATGTTATGGGGCATGTACACTTCCAAAGTGCTGCAGTGGTAAATAATCTGCCTACCACTGCAGGAGACGCAAGAGACGTGGGTTCGATCCCTGGGTTGGAAGGAGTCTCTGAAGTAGGAAATGGCAGCCTACTTAAATATTCTTGCCTGGGAAATCCCATGGTCAGAGGAGCCTGGCTGGCTACAGTCCATGGGATTGCAAAGAGTCAAACACAACTGAGCACACACACAAAATGTGTACAGTTATTATTTTGATTTAACAAATTATATTGATACATATCTCAGGAGGCTATTTTAAGTTTGTTTCCTCTGAGCTGAGAAGCCATAGATCCTAACAGTCAAAGGCTTGGAGGCTGGAACCAGGCTGCCAGGAGGCAAATCCTATCCTTCCCCTTGCTTGTTGTATGACTGAATTCTAGTAGATGGTCCAAGTTGGATAGTCTTGGAAAGAGCAGGAGATAAAATAGTTGTTGATGACTCAAACCAGAATAATCTCCATAGCCATAATCCTGACAACATGGAAAAAATTACATGGCAAGATTGGAGATTTTTTCTCTGTTATAGACCTATGCACATATTATTTGTTTTACTATTGTGGTAAAACCTACTAAATTATTATTATCCAGTAAATCTATTATTGTCTCAGCCTCTGTTATGAATTCAAATGAGAAAGCTATAATAGTGTTTCTGTGATGGTAACTAGGATACCTTAATTGACCATGGACCAGGACTCTCTTTGCTCTCTATATAAAAAGCAACTCTGAAGATGATTTCTGCATAAATGGTCATGTTGGGATTATAAAGTATTCTTGGAATCTAATTGTTGAAAACAAAAGTTCTTTCAATTACTTCTTTAATTGTTTAGGCTCAAGTAGTAGAGTGAGAGGAAAGTTTGCAGAAAACTCATGAAGTTTCTAGTTATCCAAGTAATGAAACAAGTTATCAATGACAATTAACTGACAGGTTACCTCGTAATGACTATTACATTAAATTAAATTTTCTTTAAAACTACTTTCACTTTTAAAAAAGAGGAGTCATTCATACCTGAACAACTTTTTGAGACTGCACGTCAACAACAAGGACTCTATCCAAAGTTGGCTGTGCAACATAGATGAGCCTGTCCTTGACATTGACAGCTGAGGCCCACACACACCTCTGGATTTCATCACCTTCAGCTTTGGGACAGACTTCATCCTAAAATTTAGAAAATATAAAATTAAATGAATATCTTAAACTATAACATGGACATGGACATACGATGAGCAACATTCATGTTGGACATGTTACTACTTTTGCCATAGAAAGTTATATATATATATATATATATGTATATATATAAATACATATGGTAATATATGTTTATATTTATATCAAATATATAGAGTTAAACAAAACAGTATATAGTACATAGTTAAATTCATTAAATGTGTATAGAAACTAGTATGAATAATCCTTTAGAATATATTTTCTCATTTTAATTGCTCATTTATAGTAATATATGAATATTACTATATTCATTAGTCCTTTCATCTGTCTCTTACCTGTTCATAACTCAGTAACTGCTTAAATACATAATAAGTCCAATGTTTCCTCCCACATCCCCCAGTCTCAAACTTCTTTCCCAGACATCAGAAACCACACCAAGTACCTCTAGAGCCTCTCCAAACCCATGGTCCATTCATAGTCCTTTCAAAAGCTACCAAACCCACTGAAAAAGAAGAGTCCTAATTTGTGGAGAATTAAGAAGTTGGAAAAAATGATAAGGCTTTTTTTCATAATATTTATCTTTGATCTGGTATCAAGGTCAAATTTTACAAAATCCTTTCATGTGTCTGAACTTTTTTTTTTTTTCTTTTTGCTCCGTTACCCTAGAACTGCCTTCTGGCTGAATATTATATTGTTTGTGCTAGATCTTCTATTTCATCCTTCAACATTAAATAAATGCTGAAGGTATACTTATGTCCTGATTTGCATCTGCAGATACTTAAAGTAGAAGGATGTCATTTAGGTCTTTATTTTTGCTCCAGGTTTTCTTTTATTCACTGGTGTCCTGGGTTTGCTTTTCTGGTGTCTTGGGTGGTAAAGAATCTTCCTGCAAGGCGGCACACCCAGGTTCAATTCCTGGGTCAGAAAGATCCCCTGGAGGAGTGAATGGCTATCCACTCTAGTATTCTTGCCTAGAGGACTCCATGGAGAGAGGAGCCTGGCAGGCTATAGACAATGTGGTCACAAAGAGTTGGACATGACTGAGTGAAACACACACACATTGGTTTTGGGGTTTATAATTCTCTCAATTCATTTATAGTCAGAAAAACCACTAGAAAGAGAGCTCTACACAAAATATATGTATAAACATATATTTATCTAATGACAATATAATGATAAACACTGATTCTAGCGTGTCACTTTTTTATGATTTAGGCCTGATCTCTGAGTACCATGTCTAACATTGATTTGTATACTCTAGGTAGTAACCCCAAAGCTCAATTAAAATACTCTCCTTCTTCTCTACTTTGAACAAAAACAATTATTTTTTCATCAGAGAGCCCATCCACCATTTGTATTTAATAATCATGAAACAAAATCAATAAAATGTTCATTATCAACACCACCTAGACATTTCTTTCAATGAAAAGACATACTGACAGTAGATAAACCATATCTTGCATTTAGTAATTAAAATGAATATCACAATAATTCTTCTCAGGCAGCACAACCCCAGAAGGGGCTTCTCTTTCTTGCATAAAATTTGGAAAGTAATGTAAAAACCAGGGCACTTTGGAAGGAGAAGCCCAGTATGTGCTCTGCTGGTTTTTTTCTCCACCCTTAGACCTAATTCTGAAGAACCTGGAGGGCCCGCTCATATTTAGAATCCAGTCCAGAAGTACCAAGTTCACCAAAATACCAGGGACATATAACAGTAGTGTTTTCTGAACAGTGCAGTTGTTCCAGGCTTCCAGGATATAAACAAACAAAAAAGAAAACTAAATATCCAATGTATACTTCTGGTAGTTATGGAGGGTTGGAATGAATGCATTTTATAGAATGTACCACAATAATATTAAGATGATCATCAGCAGTGAGTGTCTATGGCACCCATCGGCAGGCAGCACAAGCCAAAAGGCAGAAATCTCTTCTCAGCACGTGTCCAGAACACAGTACAGGATTTTACCTTCATTCATCAGTTTTCAATGAAACATTATTTCTACACCAAACATTTTTCTTCAGAAGAATCTTGAACATCTTTGACAAGGACCTATTTCATGAGAACCAAACACTATATAAAATATGTACTTGAGAAGCATGAAAAGGTGGGGAAAAGTGGGACCTAAGGTTGATGAAAGTTTCTGAATATAGGGAAGTTGTTTACAAATTCTTTGCTGTTATGTAAAATCTCACACTGAAACCTGCCAAAATAACAGAAAGCATGAGTGACCTGACGTGAAACTGTCAGCCAAACAACTGCTGAACCAGGAGCAATTTCCACCTCTTTGCTACAAAACTATTCAACAGTAAAATAAACTGCTCTGCTGGGAATTATCTCCTACTTTGTATGCTGTCACTACAAGATGTCCCTGACCAGACTCACAATCATTTTTACAAAGCCATTAAAACTTTCCTGACAGTCACCCTAAATTTTCTTGCTGCGCTTTATGCCATTATTTCTGATTATAGTCTATTAGGTCCCTTTTTACAGTAACAGTCCTCTTTTTCCAGATTACATAGATGAATACTTATTTTTGAGGACAGGAATAGTAGGGGAATATATTTCACATGCATTAACCATTCAGTGGGATAAAAGAAAAGCTAAAACAGTACCAGAGATGCAAAAAAATATTAAGATAATATGTACTGATGAGGAAAACTGTCAGGAATTATATTAAAGAGTATCATTCAATCATCTTTATAGAAACATATACTGCCATTGAGAGTAAAAGGATTAATAAGATTTTAGAGCTAATGAGACTAATAATAAAAAGACAATTCTAGCTCATAATTAATACTTATCTATTTCCCTGTGAGTCTCTTACTTATTTCATTATATATTTCCTGTGTATGAATTATCTTCTTCCAAAATTTTAGAAGAATATACCATTAGTGATGATGGAAATTTTAACATAGCAATTAAACTAGTGTTGATGCTTCCTCATCTGCTAAACCAAACTTATAATTTGAATAGTTGAATATATTTTGAATATTCAAAATATAGTTTGAATATATATATATATTCATTTTCTATAGGACTCAGTCATTTTCCTTTATTGTATTGATTACCTATTAAAAATACTTTGCTCTTAAATCTCCAGTCTTGTATCTTTCCTCCTTTTCTTCACAGTCACTCCGGTGCCATTCATAATGAGGATGAATGGATTTGTTACAAGCACCTCTGTTTCCCTTTAATCCAGCTCAACAGAATTCTGGCATTATTCTTTCCTCCCATCCTCTCTCTTATCATGGTTTGTCCACTATCCTTTGCCTGCAGAAACAATCTGCCTACATTTAATCAATGTGCCAAGTTGCTTTAGTCACGTCCGACTCTTTGTGATCCCATGGACTGTAGCCTGGCAGGCTCCTCTGTCTGTGGGATTTTCCAGGCAAGAATCCTGGAGTAGGTTGCCATGCCCTCCTCCATGGGATCTTCCCGAATCAGGGATCAGACTCATGCCTCTTATGTTCCCTGCATCGCCAGGCGGGTTCTTTACCACTAGCACCACCTGGGAAGCACATTTTTAATCTACAACTTTAGTTATACCTCCAGCTGCATTGGAACATGCACATGCCTTAGTAATTTAAGCAAGCATTAATTGGATTCATCTGCTTTCCCTTCCAATAACCAATTTAATTCTCTCTATATTTTGAACAAGCTTTCGAGAAACTTAATTCCATTTCTTGAACTTTCATTCTAAATTGTTCATACTTCAAACCAGCATTTGAGAGATCCCGTCTCTTCCAAAAGAGAAGTCTTGAAAACTCATCAATGACCTCAGAATTTAAAATCATTGGTCTTCACTTGTTGTTGGGGAGAATTTATTGGACACGTTCTATCTGAAAGATATCAGGCAAAGCTATGTTTGGAAAGAAAAACATGAATATTAACGAATGCCTACTCTCAAGTTGCTTATCATTTCTCTCATATTCAGCTGTTTCAGACATTTGATTTTTCCTGGAATTTTTTTTTTCATTGCTTTAAGATAGAATTAGTAATCAATGGCTCCAGATCAAATTCAGGCCACTGCCTATTTTGGTATGTGGCTTAGGAACTAAGATTTTTTTTTTTTTTTGGCATTTTTTAATGGTTGAAGAAGAGTCAAAATAAGAATACTATGTGGTGACAGGTAAACATCAAATGATATTCAAATTCACAGAAATAAATATTTATTGGAACATATCTACACCCGCTCATTTAACTAGGATTTATCATGTGGGAAGAGAACAAATTAGCCGAGATGGCATGTTCAGGCTCCCTCACCCCACGTTTTGTAAATAAAAACTATGCAACAGCTGAGATCACTTATAGTACTGCACACGCATGTCGCGAGGTTTGTGTAATAGCGGAGATCATTTGTCGCACTGTGCACGTGCATCATGAGGTACTTGCTTGGTCACAGGCTACTTCTGCAGTATATCTGCATAAGATTCACCAGGAAAGCCCGGGCTGCCGCTGCATCGGGGCTACATTGGTGTGACACCATGATTATTATATGAGGTTATGGTATGGCTCCATTATGGCTACTTTATGGTTATGTTGTGGCTGCTGCTACAGCTGCTTTGTCAGCTAGGAGAGAGGCTGTGTTGTGGCTGCCTGGCCAGCCAGAAGAGAATAAGTATGTCTGCAGATCCTACGGCTCCTCAAATCTCCTTCCAGCCTCCAAGCTCACATCTCAACTACCCTGGGTAGTAGGGTACCCAGCGAACAGGGTACCTCACAGCGAACAGTGAGGACAGTGTGAACAGCAAAACAATTGCATCACGGACAGGATCAGTGATACACATCTCACTACTTAAAAAGCAAACAACTCAATTAAGAAATGGACAGAGGATCTGAACAGGTATTTTTCCCAGAGACATACAGATGGACCACAGGCATGTGAAAACAGACACTAATCATCAGGGAAATGCAAATTAAAAGTACAGTGAGACATCACATCACATCTGCCAGAATGGCTGTCATCAAAATGACAACAAATAAAGAA